GGAAGGAAAACAAATGTTATTAAAATGTCAGAATGTTAAAAAGCACATCTTATTAACTGCCAGTTTGTTTATTAGCTCAGTGAATCTTTAAAATGATAGTTTACTACTTTATGTGTTCTTCTTAACGCTCGTCCTAGAGGGTGCAACACCGGGCCGTTTTTCATTTCAGATATTTTTTTTTATTTGTTCTTTGTCTGACCTATAGACTCTGATTTTCTTTCTAAACATTGTAATTGACAGCATGCACAGACATTTTATAACTTTTTTCAAATGGAAAAAGTAAATGGTAAAGTAAAAGTTTTACATTTTCTGTCTTTTTCTCACAAATTTTTAACAAACCTTCAACTAAAATGAAGTGCAGTATTTGTACTTCTCCAACAGGACAATGTGAATTACATCAGTCCTACTGAGCACACAGTTCTTTTTGAAGTGTGTGTGGTTTGTATTGATTTGGACGTAGTTCATACAGGCTCCTCCGTGCGCTCTTTGTACATCAAGCACTTCCAGTGTGCGAGCGAACGCGTGCCCAGTATAGACACGAGTGTGAGTCTCGCTCGAGGTGCACGCGAGATGCTACACACTGTACATGCTACACATTTGGTCTGTGCAATGTGGACTGTCATACCTCTACATCTACCTAGCACAGAATTGGATATCTTGGTGTGGTCAGCCAAAACCGTCCATTTCCCGTCTCCGATGAGTGATCGGTGTGTCTCTATCCACAAGAAATCTCCCTTCATTAGTCTAAAAGGTGATAATTTGCTTGGCTTTCCAGACCTCTGTGATCATCATACTACTTTCTTTTTATAATGAGATGCCTTCAGACCCATCTGAAAAGTCAAATATGATCCGAATAATGTGTGTGCAGGACAAAGGTCCTCCAGTTCAGTGTGAGTTTGTCCCTCTGTGAAGCTAGGGCCCCCATATGATCAGGATATCAGTAAAACCATTTTGATTAAATTATTGAGTGCTTTTGCATGCTATTGCAGGCAAAATAAACATTTGTGCATGGATGGTTACACTGCATTTTCCAGTATAGGCCTCAGTACCTTTTAACTTCCAAATGACTCCAAGTGGTGACTCATTAGTTTCCACATTGTGTTGATCCATTGATTTTCAAACTAAGAGCATCACTCCTCAGATGAATACATGTGACTGCTTGTGCTAAAATACTTCCAAGTTAATGTTTTCTTATATGCTTTTTCTACAACAGCAGACATATGTTTTCAGTGTGTATCAGCTGACAAGCATGAAAAATCAGATTTTGCAGCTGTCGGATCAGCTCAGTTATGTTTGTGGATTTAGATCAAATTTGTTTGGTTAGAAATAAAAGAATCAGTTTTTAGCTGCTATTGTTTTGTCTTCTGTGGTGATTAGAGGTGTCACACATCTTCTTCAGTGTCAGTCAGTAGAAAGAATGTTAGTTTTCTGATTTGGGTGAACTGCCTCTAAACGTTTGTACTGCAGAGGTCAGTAAACTTTTCAGTCAGTACACATGCACCAGTAAGAGTTGTTCGAAAGCTGAAATACCCTTGGGCGTGAATTTTTTTCTTCCATTACTCTTGTATTCAACTCCACAGCAAAGAATGTGCTTTTGGATGTTATCCCTGTAGTAGAATGATTGTGAGTGGAGTAGTGTTGTAGTTCTTATTTATTTTTTCTGCCCATTTTACTGTGTAGTAAAATAACCCGTGTCTGTGTAACCTTGGTCCCGTATCAGGTTGTCCATATGTACAACATGTTCGGCCTGTTTATTGTTGTTGTTTGCACTTTCTCAACAGACAGAGTACTGACCTGCTTTTCCTCTCTGCTGCTTTCTACCTGACAGACACTTAAGCTCTGACCACACAATGTGAAAATAACAGGGGTAAACTTGTGAATATTTCACTGATAAGCTCCTGTTCTTAATGGCTCTTTCTCAATTTCACAGTCAAGTGACTTCAGTGATATCACAAACTGGCCCACGCCTGGTGAACTGGCCAAAGAGGTATGTCGTGTGTGTCTGTGTGTGTGTGTGTGTGGGCGTGTTTTCCCTGCTACATGGGGACTTCTTCCTGACTCCATACCAACTCATGAGGACCCATTTCACGGTGGGGACCTAAATTGAGGTCCCCTTAGGCAAGAAATTGAATTTTAGGGTGGAAACATGGTTTAGGGTTAGGATGAGGTTAGGTTTGGGTTAGGGTTAGGCAAGTAGTGGTTCTGGTTAAGGTTAGGGTTAGTCTACAGGAAATGCATGCAAGTCAATGTAAAGTCCCCATGGACTACGAAACATAAACTGTGTGTGTGTGTGTGTGTGTGTGTGAGAGAGAGAGGGATGTAATTGTAATCAAACATTTGAATGGGAACAACCTGTGCTTGTTTTCTGCTGCTTTTACTGGTTTACAGGGAAACTTTTCAGATTTCTGCAGTTATTCTCAACACTGATGCAAAAAATGTTTTTAATTGTTTTCAGTCAAAGCTGATTTAGTCCAGATTTTCTGTTAAAAAAAGCAACAGAAGCCTAATATTAGCACATCAAATTTCACATGCAATACCTCCAGGGAGCTTTAAGGTATTTTAGAAGTTGTAAAAACTCACAGCAGAATAGAAAACATTCTTCAAGGCTCTCAGTGCAGAACAAGGAGAGAAGCTCTTACCAAGGCCTTAATTTATTTAGGCAAAATGGCTTAAACTGGTGACACACGGTCCTGTCAGAGCACAACGTAATGTTATGGTATAATACTTTTGATGTATTGGCTGTGTGCTGTCTAAGGTATAATCAGTACCGTTTTATCTTCTCCACTCCCTGTGGGCTCAAAACCACTTACGGCTTTTATTACTATGATGCAGGATTAAATAGTGGCGTTTAATACAACTTTTCTCTTTGCATCATGCGATTGAATGAAAGTATTTTGTTTTGCTAAAATACCAATGATGCCACAACATCCTGGGTTTGATTCAGCAAGGAGCCTTTTCTGCAAATCATTTCTCTTTTCTCTCTTCCCTTTTGTGTCATGTCTCTACTGCCCACTTGATGATGAAGGCAGGAAATGCCCAAACGTTCATTAAAAGCAAGACAGAAACCGCAGCACAACAGTGAAATCCAATATGTGCTGAACTTCATTATTCTGTGCTGCATGTGCTTTCATATCAGATAGAAAACCAACACTTCTTTTTCAAAGTCACTGATGAACACAAATGTTTTTACAGTAAAGAGCCATTACACTTTTGAAATTAAGCAACTGAGACCCTGTGAACAGGCACCATGAGCTTTAAACAATTTCTAAAAGCATGAATCAAGTTGGTGCTTCTATGTTTGATTCCAGCAACAGCAAAATGCCCTCGACAACACCGGGAAGAAGCCTCCCTCCTCGCGCAAAGAGAAGGAGAAGAGGAGGGAGCGACCAGAGAGGAAATCGGAGAGCAGCCATGAGGGAGGTGAGAGCAAAGAGAACCAGGAGGCTCAGATGGACCTGCTGGGAGAGCTGCCCAAAGACAGAGAGCCAAAGGCAGAACAGGACACCAAGAGTGCCAGCCTGAAGAAGAGAGGAGGTGAGGGTGAGGAGTCTTTCTCACTGATAAAGCATGTTCAACAGCATCTTTAAATGGTCTGATAATAGTTTGATTGTTTTACTTTTCATCACTGTCCTGTGAAATTCTTTATTTCCAGAATGTCAACTTTTTTAAACAACCTTTTTTGATTTAGGTTTTTCAGATAATCTGTTGCACTTTTATATGATTTTATGAGCCTAAACATCTCAAATAATCAGGTAGGGAAATGCACATTTTTCACTGGACAGTGACAACCGATACCCTTAATTGCTGCATAAAGGGAGCATGTCTAACTGTATTGATGACAATTGGTAATTACTGGTTGGTGCAGAGTGGTGCATGTTCTGCTGTGATTAGCTTTTTGTTCCACTGCGACTGATTTGCTCCTGTCGTCAGAGAAATAACAAGCACCAGTCTCTGTGTAAGCTAAAGGAAAAAACGACGAGTGAATAAACCAGAGAAGAAGCGAAGAGTTTGATTCCAAATGAGATCATCCACCATAGATCCCACAGGCTTTGAAAAGCCTTTAAATGTTGTGGGTGTGTAGAAAGAGATTTTTTGTTGAAGATGTATTTGGACTGAATATAGCTTTAACTACCAGACTACACACAGTGATCGACAGTCGTAGGATGCTTGTGTCAGATTTTGGTAATTCAAGGAAGTGTATTAGGAAAGCTGCAATAATAAAAGTCAAGCAGTCACTGCCAGGTCTATTTCATAGCTGTTCTGGAGCTTTCACTTATATCACACAACTCACACAGCAACACAGGTGAATGTTGCCCTGTTGTAATCAATTTATAGATGTGTGTGTGAGCATTCTTGCATCTGTAATGTTCAATTCTGTTGTGCAGTATCTTGCATATCACTGCATATTCTAGTAATGTTAGGTTGTAATTTTCTCTAAGTCATCAATTGACTAAATCTGATTCTTTATACTCAGAAAACTGAAAGTAGGGTGAGCTTGAACTTGACTTGCGATCTTTGAATACTTCTGGTTGGTTGAATTCATTATTCGCCCATAGAGTTTGATTCTTAAGAGTTCACATCCAAAACCTGGGTGGTCACCTTGGGAAAAGCCCTTTTGGATCATAATTCACTAAGTACGTCTGTGAAAACCATTCAAATATTCTTTAATGTCCAGTTTCGTGTTTGAAGTACAATGTATTACACTGATGCTTAGTCACTGGTGGATCTGTATTGTCGAGTCGCACAAAGTTGTTGATTTAATTTGTTCCAAAATGGACTTTTCAGCATTTTGGAACAGAACTGTTCAAGCTCTGTTTTCGGTGTGTAATCATCGCTAGGTAACAAACGTAAATGGGTTTCTCTGCCACTGGAGGAAGTGTCCCGGGACGACGGTGACAAGACGCCCAGCGGGGCCCCGACGGGCTCCCACACAGAGCTCACCAGTGACTTGCCTGACCCTGCCTCGCCTGATCACGCGCTGCATAATAACAGGGTGCATGATAGCAGGAGTAAGTGGCCAGCAGCTCACTGTTTGTGTTCACACCCTCAGTCTCTGTTTTGCTCCTTCACTCACTGATTCGGCTTTGCTGTGTGCTGTCTGTCCCTCTGTCACTTCATGTTTACTCATCACTTTTCCCCAACTGCCATCTGTCTTTCCAGGCTCTGCAAGCTTTTTTTCCCACACTGATGCATGGCAGAATGAAAGCATGGCGTGAATCTGAAGATGTGGCCAATTTTATATGAATACAAATCTCCATGATTCATGTATTTTAGTAAACTTGTTGCATTAGAGATGTTTCTCACCTGCTGCTACTGCTCGTATTTGCCCTCTAGAATAATGAATAATGAAGATTAAAGTGTTATTGCAGATAAAAATAATGGACAAAACAAAAAAAGTATTTTTATTATTTTATTATTATTAAAATTAGATTTACTAGACTTAAACAAAATAATTTACTTGTAATAAGATGCTCATTTATCCCAGGTTCTCAGTTCTTAATTCCTGTTGAGGATTCATCAGCCCTGTGGAGGCCTGGGGAACTTCAAGGTTGGAAAGCACTACATGAAGTATCTCTAAGATTTGACACCGTGCTTTTGTATTTTCTTGTTCCCAGGTTGGAGAAGAGAGCCGCGGGACTTTGGGGACGATCCTGCCAGCCTCAGAAGTGACATTGGGAGCCTTCGTGGAGGGATACGAGGCCGAGGGAAAGGTCGTGGGCGCGGCAGAGGTCGTGGACGAGGTTTGGCCAGATCTTTACTTTGGATTACCACCCATAAGTTAGCCATGTTGACACTGTTTTCTGTCTCTACTTAAAAATCCTCTGAGTTGTAAATGCTCTGTTTGTATAATGCCTTTTCTTCTATCCTTAGTTCCTTGCAGCGAATCTTTGAGTCAGGGTTTTACTTACTTACTTATTTAGACATAAAGCTTTTGTAGCTGGATCCGGTTCAGCTTTGTAGAATTGTTTTTGGTCACTTTTTTACTAGAAAACAACATTTTGGTACTGTTACTGTTTACCTGGACAGACAAAATACCTACCAGCGTGATGGAATGTATTTTAACACAGGATGGACAGCATTCACTAACTGTTTCTCATGTTTCTGTTCTTTTATCCCGCTTTTTCAGGCCGTTACGAATACTCACAAAATTTCCGGGACTCTCAGTCATCTGACAGCTCTGCTCAGGTTCCCACAGAGTTTGGAACCAACATGGTTTATTATTACGATGATGGCAGCAAAGTCCAGATGTACACGGTAGAAGAAAAGCTTCTTAAGGAATACATCAGACGTCAAATGTGAGTATTTGGCGACTTGTCTTTTCTTTTCTTTTTTCTTTTTTTTTTTTTTTAATCAGACCAGTCAGCTGCTGTGTATTTCTGCAAATAACTGACATGGTTAGTGGTGTGGAAGCTTTCATAATGTACTCACCAAATTCATATATTGTGGCTTCCACTAATCGTGTTCATAACCAGTAGGCTATAGTCTTTTCCGCAGTGTTTTGTGGTACCATTTGAAGAAAAGCTCCATTTGAAGGTTTGGAATAATATGACTCTTCATAATGTCACAGCTCATCCTTCCAAAAGTCACCTAGTAAAAGATTTTATAACTTAAATTCATGGAGATCTGTGGGTATTTATCAGGCTCTGGATATAATTTTGTGAATGGCTACATCTTGAAGGACCCCTCTGTCAAGCTCCTCAAGTTTGCAGTTGACACAACGGTCATTGGACTCATCCAAGACAGTGACGACTCAGCCTATAGACGAGAGGTTGAGCAGCTGGTCCTGTGGTGTAGTTGCAACAACCTAGAGTTGAACACTCTCAAAACAGTGGAGATGACAGTGGACTTCAGGAAGACACCCTACCCACCGCAGCAGTGAAGTCCTACAAGTTCCTGGGCTCCACTATCTCCCAGGACCTGAAGTGGACGTCCAACATCAGGACCATCACCAAGAAGGCACAGCAAAGGATGTACTTCCTGCTCCAGCTCAGGAAGTTCGACCTGCCCCAGGAGCTGCTGATACAGTTCTACAGAGGAATCATCGAGTCTGTTCTCTGCACCTCCATCACTGTCTGGTTTGGCTCAGCAACCAAACGGGACAAGTACAGACTTCAGCGGACAGTCAGGACTGCAGGAAGAACCATCGGTGCCAACCTGGCCTCCATGGAGGACCTGTACACCTTATGGGTCAAAAGGAGGGCGGAGAAGATCTCTGCAGACCCCTCACACAAACAGTTTCAACTCCTCCGTTCTGGACGGCGTTACAGGTCACTGTGTGCCGAGACAGCCAGGCACATGGACAGTTTCTTCCCCCAGGCCGTCACTCTGATTAACACTTAACCCACGACAGTGTGACTAGACAATAACCCCCAGTGCAATACCTGTAAATGTACCTCGTACAGATTATACAGGTTCATATAGGTCTCTTTTTTGAAGTACTCCATTTTTATTCTATTTTATCTTGCTTCCTAATGAACATTCTTTTGTCTGTCTGCATTGTTGACTGCTTGTTTATACTGTTTATTTAGTTATACTACACAGCTTTATGTTGGTATATTGTTTACTTGCCCCTTGCTGTTGCCTTGCATGGGGATATGTACATGCACATTGAGAGCTGCTGTACCAGAGTCAAATTCCTCGTGTCCAACACACCTGGCCAATAAGGCTGATTCTGAAACAAGTGGTTGAATTTTGGTTGCAGTCAGTATGTTGGAAAATAGGTCAGAGTGCTGCCAGTCAAAGTTGCATTTTAGCTACCAGCTCCTGCAGAGTCAAACAGGGAAAGACTGTGTGTACAGGGCAGCACACAGGTGTGAGCGAATCTGATAAGCAGTGGACAAAGTTTATGTAGACAGTTGCTCTCCTGTGGGTTCATTGTGTCCTACAGGGGGCGGTGTGTGCTCAGTGTCAGCCTGGCAGCTTTGGCCTCATTACAACAGTCAGAGGAGTGGAGGGTGAGGTGGACTCCTAAATATAGTCTGTGTGCCTCGGAAGCAACAGGATGAATTATATGTAGGCCTGAGCAAAGAAATGTAAAAAAAAAACAACAACAGTGTGTTAGGGAGGAGGGTGAGGGGGGAGAGAGGGTGAAGATGGGTGAGAGAGGGAGGAGAAGCAGAAGACATTCTCGTCTTCTCCTCTCTCATCTCCCTCAGTGTCCATGCTGCTCACTGAGCTGACATTACTCCACATGTAACAACAACTATCTAACTACCCACTGCCTGCAGGCAGAGCTGGGCATGCAGACGTGTGTGTGTGTGTGTGTGTGTGTGCGTGTGTGTGCGTGTGTGTGTGTGTGTGTGTGTGCGCGTGAACGCGCACACGCAGGGTTGTCTAGGTGCTGTGAAGTAGAAAGATTCTGCGGTGTATAGATTCTTTGTCGAGCCAGAAGATTAGGCATTTGTTGTCTCTTACTTAGTAATTAGAAAAAATGATGGTTTTAACATAAATAGATTTATCTTATGTCTTTGGCTAATGAGGGTTGGGAACTAAATCTTAATACTCACCTAAATGTGTCCGTAGTACTAATAATCAAACTGTCAAGTCTTGAAAAATGTCTTAAAATCAAGTAGACAGCACTTGGAGAGCACAGACCCCTGCATTCTCACCACCATCAGAATCACAGTGATTTCATTTGTGTCTTGAATGTTATTCAAGAGGAGCAATAATTCACTAACGGCAGTTTTCTTCAGGATCTTGCTGTTGACGTCAGATCTTTTGACACCTACTGAATCAGATCTTAGGTGCGAGTCTGTAGCATCGTTTTTAATTTAATAATTTAGTTTAGATATTCTTTGATCATGTTGTTCCTGACCTAAGACATTTTACTGATCTGTTGGAGTTTGTGATGGTGTTTTTCCTTATTTGCTGCCTAAAATACTGCCAATTTTAAACTGAAGTTTCTGAAAAACTTATTTAAAACTCTTATTCATGCAGCATTTCACATTTGACATTTGTGACTTTTGTTAAATTGAATCTAGGTTTGTTGAATTAAAAAAAAATATTTTTAATGTTTTAGTTCTGAAACTCAGGTGTCATTTTGGCACAAAATGATATTCAGCCATGTTGTAACTGAACTCAGTGAAAGTTTATAGTTTAAAACTGTCTTTGTGTTTCCTGGGATACATTTTTCCAGTGTACTGGACGTCAGTAACAACAGCAGTTATTTTTTATTACCTAATAATCAGTTTTTTAAAATGTTTTTATTAAAATATTTTGATGAGCATTAAAAGTACATTGTCTTTCTCTAGTGAGTACTACTTTAGCCTCCACAACCTGGAGCGGGACTTCTTCCTGAGGAGAAAAATGGACTCGCAGGGCTTCCTCCCCATCTCCCTCATCGCCGGCTTCCACAGAGTCCAGGCCCTCACCACTGACATCAACCTCATCATGGAGGTAATGTCACATCTTAAATAAGTTCACCGCTGCAACTGGCACTGCCACATATTAGACTTCCATCTAGTATCCAGCCGGTCCCAGCCGACAATGGGCGAGAGGCAGCGTACACCCTGGGAGGGTCACCAGTCCATCACAGTGCTACATAATAGATTTCTCACAGTGCAGCATTGCCTCTGGGGATCAGTTCCAATTTGCCACCTAGGTGTCACTGTTTGGCTCTGGGTTATGTGTCAAGTCTCTTTGGTACACAAACATATGAGGACTAACACCTCCAGTGTGTGTGTTTTAAACTGTTAATCCTGTAATGAGAAAATTCGTCCCGAGTTTCGTAAGAGGAAATTGCGTGTGCTGTGAGGCAAACACAAAAACCTGAAGGATTAACCCAACAGCATCACAGTAAGACAACTGAAAGCATCAACGGTGATGATGTATGGGTGTGTTGTGTGTAAATGAATCCTGCTCTCCAGGCTCTGAAGAGCAGCAAGGAGGTTGAGCTGCTGGACAACAGGGTTCGCTGTAAAACTGATCCGGAGCGTTGGCCCATCCCCGCCCCTCCTGTCGTGGGGTCTCCTCGGACCGACTTCTCCCAGCTCATCAACTGTCCTGAGTTTGTCCCCAGACAGACGCTCAGCTCCACAAACACTGGTCAGTGTTCAGCTCCCTTCACTGCTTATCTGTCTAAACATCAAAGTTAAAACTGAAGTAGTGGTCTGGTGAGAATCCTTAATATTCCTACTGTCAGTACATTTCATGAAAAGTCCAAAACCAGCAATGACTCAGTTTGAGGAACCTACTGAGTCTGTATCGGTGGGTTTGGGGCTTCAGAGCCTCAGTATGTGTTGAACCTGTATTGCCTGCCATATGGTTTAAAATAATTGAATGGTGCTATATAATAATTACTTATTTGTGGACACACTTGAATAGTCCAGAAGGACTAGTGTATTATTATTATAACAGTTGAATGATGACCAACAGTTTTGATAATGGGTTTCAGTCATTTTTTTTAAAGAAAATTTGCCAAACATCGTCAGATACCAACTTCTGAAATGTGAACATTTGCTGCTTCTCTCTGATGTATGTAAACCTGCACACTTGCAGACTATTCTAACTGCCACAGCCATAATCACTAGCTAGATCAGGTCACGCTAAGAGGCAAGGATTTTGTAGAAGAGCTAAATCAAATTACAAGTTGAAAACCATGCTTGTGACGCTGAAGTCACGGGACCTTAGTGTAGTCCATTTATAGCATGAACATTCGGACCTGGGCTTTACACATCATAAAAGTGGTGTTCACCACAAAAGATTACTGAACAAAATGTGTAATAAACTGTTGTTCGTAACAGCTTTTTTTTCTGCAAAAACCCAAAAGCCTGTGGTAGCACGCCAGTGTCTAAATGAGAGCTGACCGGTGTGATTTCTGAAGCAGAGTTGAAGGTTGTCTGAGTGTGTGCGCTCTGTGTCGGGGCTTACAGCTTCATCGCCTGTGAAGGAGGCTCCCCCGGAGTCTGCCGAGCCTCTGGACTCAGCTGATCCCAGCTCCTCCAGTCAGGAGTCACTGTCTGCCACAGACATGTCCAAAGACACCCCCACCCCTAAGCCTGACCCTGACGCCTGGATCCAGGTGGAGAAACGCCATAGACAGCCCCCCCGAAAAGCAAAGGTACTGGAGGTAAAAACTCACAATGCATAAAAACTGTTTGATTCACTGCACAAGGCCTAGTAGACTGTCCTGAAAACTGTACCCTTCCCATATTCAGAGCTGTTTAATACCCTACGGAATATATCAGAATCAGCTTTATTGGCCAGGTGTGTTGGACACACGAGGAATTTGACTCTGGTACAGCGGCTCTCAATGTGTACGTACATATCAACAAGCAAAGGAATGCGCATTAGGAAAAGGGAGAAACAATAAGAGTACCTGTATATACAATATATACTTATGTTGTGTACTACAGTATATTATTATAACTGACAGGAATCATGGACGTGATTGTGAAAATAAGTTGTAACTGGCTGGATTTTTTTTTTTTCTTGTAAGTTTCTGATAAGTTAATTTGTACCACAGGCTACGGAAACTCTGAAACAGAGGATGCAGGGCCATTATTTGGCTCCTGTTCTTAGACGGCCTGAAGGTTTAGTGCACGGTGGCCTTCAAGGGCAAAGTTGGACAACAGGAAAGGACCAGAGACTATCCCAAGTAATTTGGGTGCTGAGCCAGGATGTGACTGGCCAGTGAGACAGGAAACCATTGTCAGCAGTAACACAGACCAATCATCAGTCTTTATCTTAGTGATAAACCAAAACACATATAAACAAGCCTACGCTTTGTTTTTCCATATTGATTCCCTTCCATCATCACTTTTGCCATGACCTGTTTTCTGTCTTCTTTCTTCTGTCTCCACCCGTTGTTTCCATCCCTCTGTCTCTCTTTCTCTGTCCTCCATCTTTCGGCCGACAGTATATCACTGATGATGTGTGTGTTGTCGCCTCTTCTCCTCCCTCAGTGCTTCAACCTGACTGTCTCCCCTCTGCAGTTGAGTACTTCCTCCTCTCACTCACACACCTCAGCTTTGCCGTTCCTCCATCTTCCCTGTACTTCTCATTTATTTAATACCTGATATTAGCTGCCATATTTTGTACATTTCTCACATGATTTCCCTTTTTGCTAAACCTGATCATATTTATTTTTCAGCCCTTCACTTGTTCAGCAAATGAAGTCACTGGTCATCAATTTCTGGCAGATCACTGTCTCCTTAATAAGCAGTGAAGTTTTCTACTTTTATATTATTAAGAAGAGTCTGAATGGGGCTACTATTGCACTTTCAGCTAACTAAACCTTGAAATTAAAATTTATTACAGCCTCTAATCATTCCACAAGCAATTAGGCAAAACAACACAAGCGTATTTCCTCCCACTGAAACTGAAGAGTAGAGCAGAGCAGTCTTGCAGCTTGCAGACTGCAATGTCTCTGTGATTCAATCCTTAAAATACTGGATTCAAACAGCCTGGATAAAACAGCAGCTAGCAGTTTCAAGCAATGACATGTCCAGAGTCTGACAGTGAATGTTAGCAGAGCCTCTTTGGATTAAAAGGAGAAAAGGGCTTCAAATCTAATTAAAAACGTCAAGCAGCATCGCCTTCTCTGTTCTGTCGTCCCCTCCTGAACTTCAGTGTTCTTTTTGTTTGTTCCTTTGTTGATGGCTGCATCTTCACTGTGTTGTCCAGGGGGACAGCAAGACACCTCCTCCCAGCCTCCAGACTCCTCCGCAGGCCGAGCCCGACCAGGAGGAGCTGGACTTCCTGTTTGATGAAGAAATGGAGCAGATGGCTCCCAGGAAGAACAAGTTCACTGACTGGTCAGACGAGGACAACTCGGACTACGAGCTGGACGACCAAGACGTCAACAAGATCCTTATTGTCACTCAGACCCCTCCGCACCTTCGTAAGCACCCTGGCGGTGACCGGACAGGCAACCACGAGTCCCGAGCCAAGATCACTGCCGACCTGGCTAAGGCCATCAATGACGGACTGTACTACTACGAGCAGGACCTGTGGAAGGGGGAGGAACAGATCGAGTACAGCAAAGTAAGACAAACAAGGAGAAATATCTTGGGAAAAGAAAACTAACAATTTGTGTGTTTTTTTTTTTGTTTTTTTTTGGACAAATTATTTATTAGAATGCTTCTGAATTTTGGGCTACAGCTATTAGATTAGGATTCTTATCCAATTTCTCTCAATTTGCAAAAACGCTAAATGTACTTTCACATTCGGGGTGCAACGAATAACATAGCTGACTAAAATCGAGGACCACAAATTAGTTGCAGACAAATTTATTTGTTGATTAGTTGATGATGTCCACAGCTAAAATGTCACAAGATCGTCAGATTTCATGTTTATGACTTGTAGACAAAGTAATACTTTTCATATGTTCTGTTTTATCACAGTCTACATGTCAAGAGTATTTTGTTTAGATACATGGACACAGCAGACACACTTAGATTGGTTGGAGAACACTTTGCTAGGCTAGCTGTGCACAGGTTTTTTTTGTGGTTTACTTCCTTTTTGCTTTAGACACTTGCACCTGTTTCCATTTAAATGATTCCTGGTAACTAGTCTAAAGCTTAAACCTGTAAACCTGCTCATTAACAGACCAATTTAGTAACTGATATAAATGTTTAACTAGGACTCACCAAACTCAGACCTGATGCTACTGTTCAGCTGCATTTATTGTTGACCACAGATTATTTTTTTATATGTTTGTCCAGCTACAGTGAGTGTCAGGTGTCAGTGAAGTCACAGTTCAACAGCATTTTATTTTCTGTACATTGTATTTTTTTATTCATTTTTATAGAGTTTGTGACCATTTCCAAAAAACCTCATACTGATTTTTATGACTGTGCTGCTCTGGTGCAGTAAAGTTTGAACTGGTTTTCCAGTTTGTTCAATTTTGATGTAAACGTCTTGGAAATGGGGAAAAATAGACTATAATATATCTTATATTAACAAGTTTCTTTATTTATTAGGTGGATCATTTTTTAAACAGTTTAATGCATAACAAAACAATACATGATCATTTATCTGTTTTGCATGAAATACTGTTTCATACTCTGAAAGTAAGATAAAACTGAGTCAGTGTATCAGGTCTTCAAAATGCAGATGTTCAGTTTAAGCTCTTCATTCGACACCAGGCAGGGCTTGAATAAATATCAGTCATACTAATAATATTTACAGCGTGTAAAAGCAAAACGTGTTCACCCAAACTGTCTGAAGGCTGAAAGTCCTCAAAAAGCCAGATAGTATCTCCTGTTGGATGTTTTCAGCGTGTTTTGCTTGTTGTCGATGACATTGCCACATATGGGAAATGTCACACCTGAGCACACACGTTGCAAGGTCACCTGGATTCTTTTTTTTTTTTCTCCTCCTCCTTCTGTTGCTGACGTGTAAAGTTCAAAGTACGCTGCACGTCTGCAGTGTGTCTCACGGGCGTGCACGGCTGCAGTCACTAACACAGCCAATCGCAGTCAGCAGTTTATACCGGTCAGGTTATGATTCATATCTGGCAGAAGTGCAAGAATGCTCTGATTGTTCTTGTTGAGTGTGTAGTGTCACTGTTTAGGCTTTCTACTCACAGATCCTCAGATAATGCAGTAAAATAAACTCTTAACTTTTATCACCAGCAACATCTTAGTTTTACAGTTTCCAGTAGCCCAATGTAACATCACTAAATGTCTTATTTTGTTTGGTCAGTTGTCTGAAATCTTTGAACACTCATTGTTTTATGATATACAGCACAAAACTCACCAAATACTCACTTTTCAGAAGCTGAAACCAGCAAATATTTGGATTTTTCCCCTTTCTTTTTTTGTTGATCAACTAATCGACTATCGTTGTAGCTCTAACTGAAGCACTTTAGCAGGGGTGAAAACTATCAGTCAGATTTAAAATGACGATGAAGTAGAGTGAAAAAGAAATGGGTGGTTAAGCAAGTTGATGATAAAGTCACAAATTAATCAAATTAGCTAAGTGGGTTTGAGGTGCTGCTCGTTATGCAATGGGAAAACATAAAATTAGCTTTCATTTAGCATAGGAATCCTAATTGGGTGCTTTAGAAGACTTGAGCACTTTATATTACTGGTTACTTGTAGTGTTACTGATTGAGAAAAATAAATCTTAGTTTGCTCTTCACAAGAAGTCGCTGAGCTGCCGCTGTTCGTTCTTCTCACAGTTTCTGTGTTCCCCAGCAGGAAGTGGAGAACTTCAAGAAGCTAAACGTCATCAGCAAAGATGAGTTTGACACACTCGCACCCAAAGCGCCCGTTGACCCAAATCAGGAAGTCCCACCTCCTCCGATGCCAGGTGGGTTTGTGGAGCTGCTGTAGCATCAGTTTCATATCAGCTGAGCATCCTGTTTGCTGCTTCCTGTTTTTTTAACCACACCCTTGTAATATTTCTGAAACATCTCCTTTTGTTGTGCCAGGTTCTGGTGTGATTTGGGAAACTTGACATTTTTTGTATGACTAACCTTTTTCTGACCACCATCATTTAATCACCTTTATTTGACAAAGCATGTTACACATGAGGAATTTGTTTCCGGTACAGAACCAAGGCAGCCATCTGTGGCGCCACCTCAACCGATGGCTCTAACCATCGGGGGCAACTTGGGGGTTCAGTGTCTTGCCCAAGGACACTTTGACATGTGGACTGCAGGCAACGAGATTCGGACCTCCAACCCTCTGGTTGGGAGATGACCACTCTACCCACTGGACCACAGTCGCCCCCTATGCATTAGATTGTTCGCTTTGCTCTTCTGCACTGGGATAATCCATTCAGTAGCAGTACTGCTTTGCAGTGAAGCCTTGGTACATATAAAATGACAAAAAAATGACACAAAACACAACAGTCGCTACAGCCTGTTGATCAAGTGTGTTATCCAGTTTTCAGTCCACACAAGAAAGCCTGTTTCATAAAAGAAGTTTGATTTCAACTGAGCTGTAAAAGCACATGAAACTCAGTAAATGTGCGGTCAAACTTAAATTTACCGGAGCCCAGCATCGTATGAATGTGGTGGAATCAGAACCATCAGTAACTAATCTAACAGTGTGCGTATTGTTTGTGTTTAAAATGTGTTATCAGTGGACAGTGGAGCAGAGTTGGCCTGCTCTCTGCCTACAGCGGTCCCAGAGTCACCCAGCGCTCATCAACCCCGAACTCCCAGAACGCCTCGCATCCCCGGACGCCAGGACCCCAACAAGACGCCGCGTTTCTATCCTGTCATGAAAGAGAGCGGCACCATCGATGGACAGGTGAGTTTGTACTTCTATACCTGAGTAACCAGGAAAAGTGAACTTCCCTCAGTATGAGCTCAGATGCCACAGAGGAAGAGGACATTGTGGTTGTAATGGGAACCCACCACAGTTAGGACAGAGGAAGCAGTTGAATAACAGGATAAAAAAATGTATCCGGATGATGCTAAAGTAAAACACAAAACAATAAAAGAAAACAGTGAATTTCCCCTAAAGGGATCCCAACATAAATCCATGGCCCTTTGAGATGGTTAACAGGAGAGGTACTGGGCAAACACACTTTTGTCTAATCTTTGTTATTTTACTAGAGAGTTGCAGGACATTTAACCTCTTCAGGCCTCTAACAATAAAATGAAGGAAAAGGCATGTTTTGGTTGAGCTGTTTGCAGCTGGTGAGGAGTGGTCACAAGGAAGCATTACTTCTTTTTATTAGGGTCATGAGCAGAAACGGTTTTAGAAAAAAGGTCTGGAAAATTAGTGTGACTCAGGTTAGTGTCTCTCTCAGGGTTTAAGTTTCTCTTTCATGTTTCGCTACCTTTTTCTTGCTTATTCAAAGCAACTCTAAAGGTTCTTTTGCCATTGTGATTTGTAAGGTGATGAATCCTCTGTAGCCCAATAAATTTAAGTTGGCAGCTAATCTTTATAGTTGAGATGAACATCTATGAAATGTAATGACGGATGTCACAGCAGGAAAACCGTACAATTCCCAGATCTGCAGTTGAAATAAACTGCGTTCCCAGTTTCAAGCCCGATGAGGAGACTTGTGCTTTAGAATTTTAATGTTAGTGTTAGGTTTGGTGGATTAATTTGGATTTTATCTTCAGTCATGACTTTGGCTTCCAACGCTTAGAAAAGAATCAAGATAAAACTATTATTGTGCCACAATTCTGTTTCACTGTGATGCTCTGGTTTTGTCGTGTGTTATAAATCCAGCTCTTCAGAGCTCTATGTATTTTTTGCATCAGGTGAAGTGGAAACGTTACTGGAGTTGTCAACACCTACGTTTGTTACTGTACGTTCAAACCTCCGCAAGAAAAGTCAATAAGAGTAATCAATCAAAACCACTGCTAAACGAGCCTATACTTGCAGAGAAGCGATAATTTCAGCTTTGCTCGCAGTCCGTCATGCACCAACAGTTTGTGTTAACCGTAGCGAGCTTGTTATGAACAAGCTAAAATGAAACATTACTGTTTCTAGCCTTAATTTTTAAACAAGAGAGAAACTGTTCGTGTGCTTTGCATGTGTTGACATGGTTACACTGTCAAAAAGGGTCAAGTCAGGAATAATGTTGTTTTCAGCTGCTCTTGGTATGAATCCCATCACCGAGGGTCAGCCTAGAAGGTGATGTTGACTTAAAAATATCATCTCTACTTTGGGATGTAGTTTTCTTATAATCCAGGGTTAAGATAAAACAATCCACAGCTAGCAGGGCCTCCCTGTACCTAAAAGGGTTACAGATTCTTTGTGCACCACCTAAATGTCATGTGGTTTCTGTTCCAGATGCCGAGGAAGAAGAAGACCCGACACAGTTCGAACCCCCCTCAGGAGGCCCACATCGGCTGGGTGATGGACTCCCGTGAACACCGGCCGCGCTCTGCATCCATCAGGTCCGCTCGTTTACACTTCATGACCGTAGTGACCCCGCCTTTCACTAGTTTCAGTTACACATGAGACGAGTCAAAGAAGAACACAGGCTGGTCACTTCCCTCTGCCGGCCGTTCTCCGTCCATCAACTCTTTGTTGTTGACCTTTGTCCACTTCTCTGTGTCAGCCAACAAAACAAGATACCAAATGCCATCTGTAGTAGTCACATCACAGTAAATGGCTTTTGTTCCTCCTTTTGACTAAATCACAAAACACCAAGATTAACTGTAAATCCAGGTGGTGATCATTTATATTAAGAATAAGAAAAACAGGCCTGACTATTTCAGCTAGTGGTTTCTTGCTCTATTTTTATGTGGAGAGTGGCTCACAAACCCAAATATTACAATATAACTACAGCTAATACTTATTATTGACTATGTTGTCAGTTATTTTTCTCAATAATCAGTCTAAAATAACTGAAAAACATTACTTGGATTAACTCAGGACATCCTTTATTAAATGTCTGACCAACAGTCTAAAACTCAGGCATACTCTGTTTATGAAGCTGCAAAAAGAGAAGCAAAACCTCAAGTTCAACCAGCTTGAACCAGTAAATATTTAGAGTTTTTCCAGGATAACTTAATTATTTGATTATGAAAACTCATTAGTAGCTTTAGTAGTAAATGGTGGAGCTACATGACAGCTGATGTAGAAAACGGTAAAATAAAGAATGAGAATACGACCACTGTTCAAGGATACTCATTCATTTTTCAAAAAGCCTCGACTGGATTGGGATGTTAACTGGTAGAGTTGAAAGAAAAAACCCTGCATAAAAGTTCATGTGAGCAGCGAGAGAGAAAATTCCCATACAAGTCTTTTCCTCCATCCTCCCACAGCAGCTCCAACGCCTCTCCATCAGAAGGAGCCCCGCTGTCAGGAAATTACGGCTGCACCCCCCAGTCTCTGCCCAAATTCTGGCATCCATCCCATGAGCTGCTGAGAGACAATGGCTTCACCCAGCAGGGATACCACAAGTACCGCAGACGGTGCCTTAATGGTACGTTCCCAGTCCAACATGGTACATTCATGTAGATTGCACAGGTGTCCATTATCTTCAACGTGTGGCTGTAACTGTCGCTGTGCTTTCTGGTAGAGAGGAAATGGTTGGGGATCGGCCAGTCTCAGGAGATGAACACACTGTTTAGGTTCTGGTCCTTCTTCCTGAGGGACAACTTCAATAGGAAGATGTACGAGGAGTTCAAACAGTGTGCACTGGAAGATGCCAAAGAAAACTACAGGTGAGGAGGTCGAATGAAGCTCCTGATAAAACTACTGAGCTCCAAATGCACAGGTCTGTGCCTGGGCTTGGAAATGTACACAAACCAAAATGTGGTGAACCACAGAGACAAGCAAACAGCATGAACTGCTTCAGTCCTTTCATTCATCTGTCCTTTTTAGGATACAGTTTAGGTTTTAGTTGTTCTTGCTATGAAAACATTTCCCCTTGTGTCTGATTTGCTGGTGATAAAGCTTCTCTCTACTTTTGACAGCAGCTCACTGTCTTCCAGATTCTTGACTCAAACCCTCAAGCCATTGTTTAAATGTTGTTTTTGCTTAAAGGGGACTTGAACTATTAACAGTTAATATCCTGTCACATCTCCTTTATCATCATCCTCATGCATTTTTATCTAATGCTGTTTGATTCAGGTTTTTCAAGGTAGAGCTTTCATTTTCCACAGACCGAGTTTGGATTGTAGACCAAATCAGATGAGTCAGACAAAAAAAATATGTGAACAAATGGTAAATACAACAATATACACAAAACCAGGGGGACTGTGACCCTTCACTTCAGGATGATTCAGGTGCCCTGACAAGTGCAGAAAGGCTTTAAAGCCCCACGTGGGCTGTTCCTGTTCCCTAAGGCAGCAGCACTGTGAGGCAGCGGAGGGTTAACAGGGGAGGCTGCCTCGCTGCAGCATTGTTGAGTGTGTGCCAGAGGTGCCTTAACACGCCTGCCAAACCCACGTCCTTGTCTGAAGACGTGGGCAGCTCAGCCCTGCATGTTGCAGTGAGAGTGAGCGTAGCTTCAGGGAGTTGAGCAGACACTCTAACAACCATTGGCTCTTTATGTAGCAGCCGCTCACATCGACCCAGTTTAATCACGAACCAGTCTGCTCGTCTGTCTGCTTCCTCTGCCAGCTGCATTAAAGCCATTAATAATCTGTTTCACAACAACGTTCCTGTTGTTGTGAAATGCTGGAGGCATGTGGGAGAAAATGGCTAAAGATCAGCTTCATGTGACACCTTAGAAGCTGAGTATCATGTTGACCCGTTTCTGATGTTGGTTCACAGGTAAATATTTACTTTCCCTGCAGGTACGGACTGGAGTGTCTCTTCAGATACTACAGCTACGGTTTGGAGAAGAGGTTCAGGTTAGATCTGTTCAAGGACTTTCAAGAAGAGACTCTCAAGGACTTTGAGAAAGGTGATTAACATCAAACCCTTCAGCTGCCACTTCACTGCTTTACCACAGTCTTCACAGTCATTGTCCCAGTATGAGAGCACAAACTGGGTTTCCCAATAAGGTCTTTCATTTAACTTGAACACATTTTTACATAGACATTAAAAATACTAAGAAAGCAACAAAGCGTTGGCATCAAAATGAACGTCATAAGTCCCATGACAATAATTACAACTGATATTAATAAAAATAACTTGCTAACATCTGTTTTGTGTCTTATAAGCAGTGTCAACATTGATTCTTTATAACACACTGCATTGTAGCTGTAAACAAATGAGGGCGTTTTATTAATGTCTTTAAGAATTAACTCCTCATACAAAGCAGTTTTTCTGGTCCACAGTTAATGAATGATAATAGAAGGTAACATAGTTTTAAACATATGTCATTATCAGTAGTTTAAATACTTAAAGTCTTTGTCTCAGTGGTTTTCAGTGAAACGTACCCACACAATCTTCCAGCAGGAGATTTTAGCACAGACGACACAACCACCGTCACCGCCTTGTACCAGTGAGTCGTGACCAGGTCTGATAATGAAGATACTAATTAAAATAGTTAGTGGGTTCTGGTGACCTCCCATGAATAGCCCCTGTGTATATAAGCATTAAATCACTACAGGATTCTTAGAGCTGAAATTTAAACATCACTTCAGTTTATAGCGCTGGAATATTTCAGTTATTACCAGCCTTTGCACAAACTTGATTTCCAGTGTTTTTGTGTACCCATTATTCAGAAACTATATTCAGATCCAATTCAGATCTGAACATCTGGCATACCATGGATCAGCACTTGAGTGTTGCATTGAAAATATTATTTGACACTGACTGAACTGTGAGCGTCCTGTTTCGATCTGGTCCAGGTCAGCTGTATGGACTGGAGAAGTTCTGGGCCTTCTTGAAATACTCTAGGATAAAGAACCAGCCCATTGACCCAAAGCTGCAGGAACACCTCTCCCAGTTCAAGAACCTGGAGGACTTCAGGGTGGTGGTGAGTGAGAGGATCAAGGATGAGCCTCACTGGAAATCTGTTTGATGGTTGAATGTACACACTGGGTCAGAGATGACTGTGTAGCTGTACTGACCCAAACTGAGTCCATTCTGATCCAATAATTCGTGTGTGTGTCCGTGTACTTAGATCGATATCCAAGCATTAAAGAATAGTTCTTGTTTTAGGATTCACGTGTGCCACTGACAGGACTGTACTGGATACTGTATGTGCACAGTAGGAGAGTTTGCTTGACATATTTGTCTTAATGCACACACAAGTTAAATCTTTAGTTTTTCTTAGGAGAGGTCAAAGTAGGGCTGGATTTAAAAAAAAATCATAGATTCCAATTAATTATTTCAGTGATCCAATATCAATTCTTAAAATCTTGATATCGATCTTTGCAGGTGCACCTTCTCTCACTGAACCTACATCTGCATTAAATTTTGTGTGTATGGTTATTTGTTGTGGTTCAGTTCGGGCTGATTAGCTGACTCTGGCTGTCTCACAGCAGATCTACAGATGGCATCAAAGACTAGGGTGAAAAAGTGGACTGTGCGGATTCAGTCTGTTCCTGTCAGGAGCTGACACCAGTTAACAGCAGATCTATCTGCAGATATCAGGCTGATGCCAACACAGACAGTGCAGATGAATCAGTTTTTGTGCAGTCTGAGCTCAGACTCACTGATACTCATTACTCACAATACTCTGGGACAGACCCACTGTTATCAGTGTCCTTGTTGTGTACTGACTCTGACCTCTGTGCACACAGCCACCCATAGGAGAGGAGGGAGGCAGGAGGAGTTATCACTTATCCTCAGGCGGGGATGAAGGGAGGCGTCGGCGACATCCTTCCAACACTACCTCAAAGCCCACGCAGTCCTCCAAACCCTCCAGCATCACCAGTCAGCCCACCACTGCACACACCGCACCAAAAGACAACACCCAGAAAACAGCTACAGGAGCCGCCGCCCAGGTGAAGAAGACGGAGGCTAGAGCCGGGAATAAGGGAAGTGTTGCACCAGATAAATGAAGCTCCCTCCTCGAGGTGTGGGCTTGGATAGAAGCGATGCAGAGCGAGGTGGCAGCAGCAGCTGAGCTCAGCATTTGCTTTTTTCAGTGGAAGACTGTTTGGGTGTGAAGGGACTGAGCGTGGTTCGCTTAATTTGATTGGTTTTATCAGTGCATTTCATTTTAAAGTAAGCAAGCATAGTCTGAGCTTGAATCTGTGTGTCTGACAGCTCATAACGTTTACCAAAACAAAAAAAAGAGCATTCCCTGCATTTTGCCTTCTATTCTCTCAGATGCCAAACTCTTTAATCTCCACAATCTGCATACCGCTCTGGTCTGTAAAGAGCTGGTGAACTGTGACTCTGGTTTGCCACGATGAGGGATACTGCAGGTGATCTTGTGTGCCTTATTCTGATTCACCAGGACGACTGGGCAGCGATCAGAGTATCGAAACTGTCCAAGTTCTTCTTTTAAAACTGACATCACTTGCAGGTTTTTCTTTCTTGAGGCAGGAATAACTTCCATTTTGATCATGACAATCAAAGTAGCTGCAGTCATAAATTTGTGAAGGACTGATTTCTGAGGCCCGTAGGAATGAGTGTGAGTGTGTGTGGTTGTCTGTCTCCCTGTGATAGACTGGTGACCTGTCCAGGGTGGATCCTGCCTATCGCCCAGTGTCAGCTGGGATTGGCTCCAGTCCCCCTGTGTCCCTCGTTGGGATAAGCGGTATAGATAATGGGTGGATGGATGATTTCTTAGGGTGCTGCTTCATTACAGATGTTCCCTTTAAGTCTGACTGACAGGCATCACAGCTAAACTGTCACATTGGGTTTTAAGTAAAACCTCTGAAAAATAATGACAGGTTTATCTGGGGAGCTTTTTTTAAGTTCAGTTTTATGCCCAGAGGCGGTTTACTTGTTTTTTTTTTCCTCATTTACTTGATTTGATGGAATAGTCTTAGGTAACCATTGCAGTTCTTAATGCCTTTGCTATTAAATACAATAAAAAGTTAATTATTTCTGCTGGAATTATGGGTGTGAGCTATTATCATAAAACTACAGTATATTTTAGCTTGAAGTTCATATTATGTTTGAGGCTTGGTGCTCTAGAGCACTTGAATCATTAACTTTCCTTTTATTTCATCGATGGACTTGAGAGGTTTTAGAGTTGAATTTAAAAAGTGTAAATACTATAAAAAATCATGCTCTTCAGTTATTTTGATTTTAAAATTTGATTTGTTTTATCAGTAGTGTGGTTTTTGAGTGTTTTAGGAAAAAACAGTGCATGTTGATGAATTGTAAAATGCAAAAAAGATATATATAAAACAACATTAGATTGTATGAACCTGTGTTAGTGTGATCTGTTCTGCCTTCACTTGGCTTCCAACCTTTGCATATTCTATAGGGTTGTCAGAGGCTAGTCACTGGTTTCTGTTTCCAACACTTGAAACAGCAATTCAGGTGTCAAGTCTGACATCACAAGGTCTGATTATTTCTATGAGCTGTAAGGTTACAGTGAGATTTGTTCCACCAAGTGCATTTAACCACTTTTGCCTCAGAGTAAACAAGTGCTTCAGATAAAAAAGTTGGTGTACAAATAGCATGTAGATAACATCAGAATAAAAAGGCCAGCTGTGGAAAATGTGAGCGGAAAACCTGTCGACCTGTGACATAACACGATGTTTATGATCATAGTAAGGCAAAAAGAAAATATTTATTTTTATTATATGTATTAGATGTGCACATTTTGGCCTCATTTTTTCCAACATAAAAAGAAATTCACATCATTAAAATATGGCACAAGCACTTCTGGAACTACCCTTAAGTAAATCTATTAATAAATTTGAGAAGGGTAAACATTCAAATCTGGGTTAGCTTCGCTTTTGGCCACTGTTTGCTAAACTACGGGTCTCGATGGAGGGACAAAAGACATCAAAATCCAGTAGCAACGTGCAGCAGTGGTAGGCGGGTGTTTTGCTGCTTTCACATGTCCCTCGTAAACCTCCATGTCAAGTGGTTCTAAAGACACGTTGCCTGTGAAGTGATACTGTGTAATATTAGGCTATTGTGTTTTGTATACAATTTTAGACAAGTCAAACCAGTGAAAGTTGTTTTTTCACAGAGCACAAATAAAAACACCTGGAGTGTAGCCTAATGCACAAACTTTTGAAATGATAAAAAAGGGGGTATTATGGATCAGTGATGTCAGCAATGTAGCCTAGTAAAAAAAGGACCCAACTAATTTAAAATATAAAAAAAGGAGTAACTTATGCCAGATGATGCAGTAAAATATTTCAACTCGGCAAATATCTAATACGAAGAAAGAAATTGCAGCAGAATCTTATCTGCTGAGTTAATAGGTCTATGTCGTAATTATTGATTGACGCGGCATATATAATCAAATTTTTTATCCCGATTAAAAGTCTGATTTTCAGACTTCTTTGATAGTAAACTAAATACAAGTGGATTTGAACTGTTTTTAAGACAAAATGTTTTGAAACATGTTCGCTCTTTGCTGACATTCTATCGAAAAATCGATTGACTGATTAGAATGGGGGTTAATTAAAGCCCCGTAGATTAAACGATCAGTAGAACAATCGAAAAATACTCATTAGCTGCTGCACTATAATCACAGGATAACTTTTAGTCTCGACAGTACGCAATGCAACAAGACTACACGCTCACGCAACTAGTGGTTGCGCTGTTCCGACAGGACCTGAACGCAGCATCTGGCAAGGGGCGGGTAGGCGCTAACAGTGCAGTATGGCGGACGATGGAGAGAGTTCGAGCGGACCAGTTGACACAAGCGGTGGGCAGGGGGCAGCGGATGAGTCGGACGGGCTCGGCATCGGCGGGATGTTGGTGAATTGGTGGTGGCGGTATGGCTGGTGGTGTACCGGAGGTGGGGTAGGCGGCTCGTCTCCGACGCGGCCCAGGACAACGAGGCCTCGGCGCTTCCCAAGATGAGGAGACGGGACTTCACTCTGGAACAGTTGCGGGAGTACGACGGACTCCAAAACCCACGCATCCTGATGGCTGTCAACATGAAAGTTTTCGACGTGACAAAAGGCAAAAAGATTTATGGGAAAGGTGAGTGTGCACGGCATTAATCGGGAATTAACGACTGGGGAGTGAACTACCCTGTCCCTGTTTGGTGCGTTGTCCTGTGCCAAAATCTGGGCGCAAACCGTTGAGGTTAGCTGAACTAGCCGCTTGGCTTTGTCTATGTTTTTGAATGGGATGCTAGCTATTAGCTAACTAGCACGGCTGTCTGAGGGGCGTTACTGTTGTGATGATGTGCGAGCATATTTAAACTTTATACTCGTGTACACTAAAACCATAAAACATTCCAGTGCGGGCTGGAAAGCAAGATTTCTGTCTGCTAGCCCGCTAACTCTAGTCTGGTAGCTTGTTGACGTGCACAGACACACTGCACTGTCTTGTCTGGACCCACCGCTTGTTTACAGTGATAGCAATTATATGCATGAATATTGGACACTTTGCACAAATATTGTAACCTCAAGTAATATTAATGTAACTTTTTTATTAATGTGACGTGAGCCGCTCGTATAAAACCCATTATATGTAGCTAGTTAGAAAGGACGTGTTTTAGCGCTCTGTTGTGCAAACGTTAACACTGAACAGCACGGCTAGCATGCTAACTTTGCTCCATATTTTTCCTGACTTGTCCATCAACTCCGTAATCAACTATAATTATGCCGACACATTTCCAGCAGTGTCATGTGTCATGTCTGCTATTCCACACCGCCAGCACCTCAGAAGTTGAGACAGCTTTACAGCTTCGCTGCAGTTGGCAGGGCCATATCTGAAACTGGCTGGCTGGTGTTCATCACACTGGACCTGGGGCTGGGACAGGACAATGGACAAGAAAGTAATAAATGACTTACTTTGAAATCAATTCAAGTGGATTCAGCGTCTGGAAAGTGAGAATTTGTTTTTCTCTTTCATGTCAATTTAAATGGGGAAACTAGGGTTTATCATGAGATAAGCAATTGAAACGTGTATTTATCAGTCCTACGTTTTGTCAGATTACACACCCAGTTATTAACGAGTAAAGAAATGTATTGTTGGCTGCACACTGCACAGGAAGCCAGTTACAGCTGATATCCTCAAGTCTCCCGAAGACATTTAAGCACAAATTTGGCTCAGATATTTTTTCTTTTGTTGTGAGTCACGATTCAAGACTATTAAAAAACCATTACATTGTTGTTTTCTGTAAAGTGGGATTAGGATTTATTTCTGTAAAATGCTTGTTTCTTTAGTTGTGCAAGATAAGAGCATATCTAATCTTTGAGGCGATAAGGCACGTTTGCTTTGAACACTGGACTGAGTTCCTCAGTTTTCTGTTGCACCGTTAAAAGCAGAAAACCTGAGAGCCTGCAGCGTTTCACATGCTGGTCAGATGATTTAAATGTTCAGAGGAGGCACAGAGCTTTATTTTAGAGATTTGTGATAATGACTGGATATCACCAGTGAGGATATTAAATTATGTCAATGAGGAATCTGGGAATTCCTGAGTATAAAACATTTCAACACATTATCCTCTACTGAAACAACAGTGACACTATTTTAACTTATTTGACAAACAACAAGGTCTAACATTGATCACACTATTTTGGTCTGAATGTCTCAGTACTGATCATGTTTTAGCTAAGGCTTAATGTGTTAGAAGACATTTTCAGCTTATCATAGTGCATCTGTGCATATTATATGCTGAGCTGCTGCTAATGTTTGTTTTCATTACTGATTAATTGTTTGTTTTGTGAAACACCCAGAATGATTATGTCAATAAGTCTGTTTTCGTTTGAGCAACACCCCAAAGCCCAGAGACAATCTGGTTACTAAAATGTGAGACATTTACAAGTTTATATTTCAATTATAAAATAACCAGCACAATATGCAGCTTTTTAAAAATGTTTGTGTTATGCATGTATTTAATTTATTATAATTATATGTTTTTGGGGCACTTGAATCCCTTACTTGAGTGTGGGTAATGATGGAGACAGACAGAGGAGAGACGACAGGAAACAAGGCATACGTTTATTATTTTAAATAGGGATTCAAATAAGGACTATTTCTATATTATTTAGGAAATTATTTCCATGATGAATTGATTGTTTAGTTTAATGAATGTCAGAAAATATTGGACATCATTCAAATTTCTTATATTATTTCCCCCTCAGTCCAAAAATGTGATATTTTATTTACTTTTTCATGAAAGAAGCAGACAGTCATCACCTCTGAGCAGCTGACAGCAATGAAAATCATTTATCAGAATAGATGCTGATATAGTTTCTACTGTTTGATTTGATAATTGATTAACTGCCTAATCGATGCAGCTCTAATTTAACTCTAATGCAGGTTGTAGCATGATAACCAGACAGCATCACATTTCACATCACACAGTCGCTGCCATGTCTTCCAGCTCTAATAATGACGCCGATCTGCTTAGTCACTGTCAGCAGCCCGTCTTCAGTCGGATTTTGGAGTCAGAAGCATCTTTGTGAACTCACTGTTTTCGAGTGGTTTACTTACTGGAAGCAGCAGCTGTCACATGACAAATTAATCACCATGGGTTATCTGGCTGCTTGACTTGAATTGTCTCTGTAAAGTTTGATGCCCTTATTTCTTGGTAAATCAAATGAGAAACTTTAAAAGCATAGATCCAGATCAGGGTGAGAGACGAGTGTCCACTGGCCCCCCAGTGGTTTATCCTGAAACTCACAGGCAGCATTTTTAGAACAGCAAAGATTCTCAGTCGCAGTGAAACTACTTACTAATAGGGAGGGCGATGCTTTTTGGTTTTCAAATATCAAATAGCATTTAGGCTTGAAATGTCCATCCCTACTTACTTCATCAGAAACTACTCTGCTAACCTGTTTTCATGCTGTGTTTGTTTCCCAGATGGCCCTTATGGCATTTTTGCGGGCCGGGATGCTTCGAGAGGCCTGGCCACATTCTGCCTGGAGAAGGATGCCCTGAGGGACGAATATGACGACCTGTCAGACCTCACCGCTGTGCAGATGGAGAGCGTGAGGGAGTGGGAGATGCAGTTTAGGGGTAGGCCAGTTTTAATCACACCCAAAAAGAAATGTTTCCACCAGAGAAAATGTTTCTGAGATATTGATTTGACTCCGATTTCACAGATGCAGCCTTCGTGTTTATCACCTTTCCCTCTCTGCATATTTAGTCAGGTCAGATTGAGCATCTGAAACACAAGCACTTTAGTTTTTAACTTCAAAACTTCTGCAAGAACATTCACTTCTGTGTTGTGAACTTTGTTATTAGGTCAATTTAAAGTGACTAGGCAGTGAATGAACTAGTATTTGTGCCCAGGCTGTTGAACAGAGTCGCACTCTTCCCTTCAGTTTTCACTGAAGTTGAATTTTTTCACTTCGCACTCAGAAACATGCCTCTTTTGTAAATCTAGTTTGTGTTCCTAATGTTTGTAGGGGTTGTATTTATTTTTGTTATATCTAAACTGACAAGGGCACAGTGGCCACGGTAACAGCCGCGCTTGACCCATCGAGACGTGAACCCCACAGACCTCTGAAGGTGTCCTATGATGTCTGACACCAAGATGTTAGGGCAGCAGATCCTTTAAGGTCTGTAGGTTATGAGGTAGAGCCCCCAGGGGTCGGACTTGTTTGTCCAGCACATCCCACAGGTGTCGATCAGAATGAAATCTAGGGAACAGCTGGTTGCAGCTCTGATGGTGTTTGTAGCGGTACTCCTTAGCCTTTAGTGCCGCTTTACGGTGCAGGTCTTATGCAGTAAGTATGACACGACATAAACAAGTTCCACAGTCCAGTTCTTGGTTTTTACGAAGGGTTTACTAAATAAAAATAAACATACAAATAAAACGTTTCCTGGTTGACAAATTACTTGCTTATAACTCGGTCAGAAAAACTGTGTGCTCAGAGCCTGACCGTCCGAACCTTCCAAAAAACAAAAAACACATCCGGTCACATGGTTAACAAACAACAATATGCCATAACATAACATGTCTAGAGCACATTGTATAAAACAAACTTATTATTCCAAAACATAAAGCTATGTTGGCTATGTTTTCTTAATAACTACGTAAACTAAACATTTTTCAGATTGGCTCTTACAGTTGTGTTTATGTTTACTTAGTTACATATCTATATATCACCCTATATGTTTACTGAATCACTGGTCAGTATTTACTGTGTTAGCCAACTGGAGCACTGGTTAAAATCAAGGAGACTGGTTCACTAAAACACTGAAAACTCATTAGATTTACAGCCTAGCAAAAAGGGTCCACAGTTACTTTATTACCACCACTTGGCTAATAGGTTGGGGGAGCTATAGTTTAGTGGAATTTTTAGGATAGTTGGAACAGAGATTAGATCTAAGCCAGGAAGAGGAAGCAACTTCAAAGGCAGGGCAATATACAGACACACACAGGCAAGACAGTTTAATTAGTCAAACGGGAAGCCATGTCACATATAGTGTAACAAAGAAAGAAGTGAGTGTAGGAATTCAGACAGTAGAATTTCCTCCCTTTTTAG